TGGCGGCTGCTGCTGCAGCAGCCACGTCGCAGCGCAGCGGCATTAACAACGAGTTCGAAAAGTTCTGGGGGCCCCCAGGGGCCCCCCGCACGGCCAACAGACGGCGCTCGGCGACTGCCACTGCACGCAACAACCAAACCCTAAACCCTCAACCCTCAATCCTAGAATCGAAACCCCAAACCCTCAACCCTAGAATCGTTGGAAGGAAGCCCCACGAACGACTGCAATAAGCTGACGAGAAGCGCCAGTAAAGAGTGGCAGTAGTTGCTGCAGCAGCTAGAAGCAGTAGCAGGAAGGAGAAACAGCAGCAGCAACAGCAGCAGCAGGCAGCAGCAGCAGCAAACCTCTGTGGGCATTTGCGTTACTGTCGTTCAGAGAGGGCGGAGGATCTCCGAAGCCAAAGGCAGACACGGAGCTGCCGTTGTTCCCCATCTCGAATCACGTGACCCTGCTGCTGCTGCTGCTGCTGCGGCCGCTGCTTATGCGGCTGCTGCAGCTGCTGCTGCAGCAGCAGCAGCAGCGAAGTCCGGAGGACTACAGACCGTAGAGGAGGTCGGGTGTCTAGACACCCCACAGCTGAGGCTTCCAACCCTTTAACTTCAAGACGCGAAGATACACAAAGCAGCCCGCTGCTGCTGCACCCGAGGCTGCAACTGTCGCTGCTGCCAGGGCTGCTGCTGCTGCTACGGCTGCTGCTGCTGCTGCGGCAGCAGGAGGCACTGAGGCCCCTTCGACGCGGCAACGAGCAGAAACTCCAAACGCAACGTGAAGCCCAGCGACCCAATCCCTGAAGCAGCAGCAGCAGCAGCAGCAGCAAAGATGAGTTTGTGCTACTACTCCCGCGACTCCCGAGTCTCCAGAGGCCAAGCAGCTGAAAGGTCTCGAAACTCAGACCTGCTGCTCCCCTGCTTTGTTTGTCTATTTTAATAAACCATCTTCGTAAAAGTTAGTGTTCTTGACATTCAATTCGTTAGCTATTGACTCCTCTGCTGCTGGCAGCCGGTTGCTGCAGCGGAGGCAAGCGCGCTGCTGCTGGTGCCGCTGCTGCAGCAAACGCAGCGATCTTGCCGCAGCTGCTGCAGTAGCAGCAAGTGCAGAGCGCCTACTGCTGCGGTAAATTCACGAGACAACACGCGTACAGCTGCTGCTGCTACTTCTGCTACCTGGCCGCTCCGGCAACTGCCCGGCAGTGAGGGCAGCAGCAGCAGCAGCGCCAGCGGCAGCAGCGCTCGAAGCAGCAGCAGCAGGATATGCTTCCAGAGGCCACCAGCAAACCCTCGCAATCCTCATGTTGAGACTTACGCGTTGCTCCAGCCAATGACGGGCGCCGTGCCGCTGCTGCTGTCGCCGCTGCTGCTGCGCTGCTGCTACTGCAGACGCTGCAATCAGGCGTCAATCTCCAATAATAAAAAAACTCTTCTGCTGTCTTGCTGCTGCTGCGCTGCTGCTGCGTTGAGGGCAGCAGCAACTGGAGCAGCAGCGGCAGCATGCACAAGGGCAGAAGGCGCGTTGCTGCTGCTGCTGCAGCGAGAGAGTGCTGCTGCTGAGTCCGTGGGCACCAAGAGGATCGTTAACAGTGCCCCTTATAGGAGCAGCAAATGCAAATGCTTTAAAGCCCCAGAGCAACCCGCAGGCCCAGGTGAGCAGCAACTGCAGCGGCAGCTGCTGTTGCTGCTGCTGCTGTCCTGGCTGCGCCGCCGCAGCAGCAGCCAACTCACCACCTAGTACCACTCGCTGGAAGTTGTTTTTGTATTATTTCTTTATTGCTTTGCTGCTGCTGCTGCTGCGCCAAGAATTGTCAGGTGTATGTACACCTCACGTTTTGCAGCAAGCGGCAACCGCTGAAGCAGCAGTCTCTTGAAAACCCCACAGCAGCAGTAACTCCCTTTCTGCTTCGTCTCTGTCTCTATTAAATTTAGTCAGATTAATTAATTTTTAGACGCAGTTAACGGTACGCAATAACAGCTAGCGCTGCCCTAAGGCCCCTAGTTGCATTGCTCTGCCTTCCCCTCGTGCCATGCCCGCTGCTGTTACTGTTCCAGCTGCTGCTACTGCTGCTGCTGTTGCTGCGGGAAAATGTTAGAAGCACCCAAGGGCCACTGGTAGTTAGTTGCGAAGAATATATAGTCAAGGCAAAAATTCAGCCCTATCTCTTTATTCAGTCCTTAGTCTGCTGCTTCCAACGCCTAAACACAGACGCGGTCGCGCACCTTGAGCGCCGCATGCTCCTACTGCTGCTGCGCTGCTGCCGAGGCGGCTGCTGCAGGAGCAGCGCTGTTTGCGAGCTTCCGCTCCAGCTGCAGTTTACTGGCTCCCTCTCTGCTTAGTAGCCTTTTTACTCTTTTAATGGAAAAATATAGTATTAACTAATCAAATTAATGCAGTTTCTGGACTGAAGCGCGCCTGCCACCGCTACAGCGCGCGGCTCGGACACCCATCCCTTAAGCGGGCGACCGCGAGTCGCCTCTTTGTTCATTGCAGTTCCAAATTTAAGCCAAATTTAATGTGAAAAGTGGAACCAAAATAACGAATGCGCATTGTTGTTTAAAACAAGTGAAGCCTTAATATTTAAATCTTCAGGGCTTGCAAGCTGCCCATGAACACCGTAAATCACGCCGGTTTGCTTCATAATGAATGAAATTATGTTCACTACTTTCCCGTAAACTGATACGAAGCTGATACCCCACTTCGCCTGTCATTCTGCGCTTCCGCGGTTTGCATTTTAATCGGCAGCGACAGGCACTCAGGCCCCAGAGGCAATCAAATGAACACAATAAAAGCAAAAGCGTCAAGAGAAACAAGTTGTTTCTGTTCAGTTCAGTAAATCTCCGCTGCACTCTCCGCTAGCGCGTCGAGGCGAATACAAAACCCTCGGGAGGGGGTCTAGTGGTGGAGCCGCCATCCATTCTCTTTTCGTTCAGTTTATTCTTGTTCCCAAGTCCGTTACTTCTTCAACCTGCATTTCTAAGCACTTGCCGGCTGGCCTACAGCGGCGGTGCTGTCTCTTAGTTGCCTGAGTCGTCCCGCCCCGGTTTTCGCCTGTGTATTTGTGCCTCCCGTTCGCTAGTCCGAATTGTTGAATAAATCAGACAAGGGGAAACGAAGCCGACACGCCGCCTGCGCCGTGCCAGAAAACAGCAGCGGCACTTCAAATAAATGGTGGAGTCATAAACACATCCACGCGGGTGCACAGCTATTCAGGTGTAACTACAGTGCAGAGTGCACGTTCCACATCTTTAATGGGTACCAAAAAGATATTCATGTGCGATCCTTAATATTAATGCAGCTACAACTTGGTCTATTTGTTGCTGAGAAAGAGGAAAAGCAAAGACGGCCGGCCATTCTAATGGGGGAAAGCAGCGAAGGCGAACTTACCTTTAGTGCCTCGCAGGCCTTCTCCTTGCCTTTAAACTGCTGCAGCTGCTGCAACAGGGCCTCGCAGTCGGCAAGGGATGGACGCTCACGCTCGCCAGAAGCAGCAGCGTTTGTTACTGCTGCTGCTGCTGTGAGCGTGGGGAAGGATAGCAACAGCGAGTCATCAGGCACGTCTTCGCCCGCCAAAAGATAGGCCTCAAGAGCTGCAACAGCACAAAATGAATCAAAAACAGAAAATAATTAAAGTTAGTCATTCAATTGGCCGGGAAGAAGAAACGGAGACACAGCTAGATAGCAGGTCCAGCACATGGGCTCTTCGATACTGTAGTCTAGAATAGACGGAGTGTCATGTAAAACTATATATTTGCTTCTACATACTTGCTTCTGTACTGGAATTTGTATTTGCATTTACACAAGAAACAGCGATTTTACACGAAGACCCTCCGAGACACAGCAGACCACAGGTATTGGCTGGCTTGCTATTTCAACTAGTAAGCTGCTCAAGAAGAGCTCACGTAAGTAGAAAGTGAACAAGCATTGGTAAAGAAACAATAGTAATGACAATAACGATAAGCAAAACGCTGATAAGCGTGAGTTGCGTCTCACCGGTTTTGCGCAGCTGGAAGTCAAGAGCGTCTGCTTTGCACTGCAGAAGTAAATCGCCCATCAGTTTGTCTGCTGCCTGCTGCAGCTGCTGCTGCAAGCCAGAGGGTGACAGAGGAGTCTCCAAGATGGCGCTCAGCGCAGAGGTGCACAGCGACTCCATTTCACTGGGGATGAGTGACAGATCCGCTGAGTAGCAAAGGCGTATGAATGCCATATTTTTAGGTTTTCACACTAAAATTCTGGGGGAAAAAATGACAATTACAAAACTCATCGTCTGCTTCGTCTCATTCAACCAGGGGCAAACACAAAACGATGGAAAGAACAAGGCAGCAGCAAAGGGCACAGAGAGGGCACATACAGAAGCAGAAGAAACTCAATGAATAAACGGGAAAGAAGGCGGCAAATAAACAAATGAAGCACAACACTAGTTGAAACAGGCCAAATGCTGAAACAAAACAACATTCACGAGGTAAGTGCAGTACGCAGACAGCTTTCGGGGTGTAAGAAATAATCAAGAAATAAGCAAAAAGCGGTGAGGCATGAGCCAATGAATCATTACCTAAAAAAACATAAGCATATCAAAGCAAGTCATACGTAAACAAATGCACAAATACGGAGGCGAAAGCAGGGAACGAAAAAAGGAGGGAAAGAAAAAGGAGCAGTAATATCAGCGAGCCCAACAGCAAAAGTACCTGCTCTGCAGAAGTGATAGAGAAGCGGCATGAGAACGGAAACGGAACGATTTGTGCCCTCACGTTTAATTAGTTTGTTGAGACGCGAAAGCGCCAAAATCATCCCGACCACGCAGCCTGCAAAGCCACAACAGATGCAGTTGACGCAGCAACAACACCGGCATCGGACGACACAGCAGCAACACCAGCAGCAGCAGCAATGGCGAAAGCGAGAGCACC